GTAACTTTGGTGCCAAAATGAATTGTTGGCAAGGCTGTTGGTGGGTTCGCTGGATTGTAGGCTGACGCTTTAGAATCTTGACGTTTGCAGCTACAAGTTCTGCCTACTAGTACGTTTGCTGGGGCACAACGACGGCGTCAGTGTTGGGATATTGGGATAAGTTAAGAGGCAGAGGTTGACGAAAACTCAACTGGGTCAGAAGAGGAAGCTTGATCAGCTCTTGGTGAAGAAGTAACTAGAGGGGTTGAGGCAGGCGGTGGAGTTTGACTTCTCTGAGGGACGTCGGGTAAAGCCGATTTGTATGCTGGTATGTAATTCAACAAAAGAGGGGCTTTTCATTTCTGCATAGGAAGATCCAAGAGTTTCTTTAGATCTCGGCTGGGGACGTATGATTGCCGAAATCCTTTGGCTGGTTGAGGAAGAACTGCAAAAAACAAAGAGCAAACAATAGAAGAGATGAATGAGTTGGCAAGCCTTAACCAAAATGGAATTACAGTAGGATGACTAAGTCTTTCCATCACTCTCTTTAAAAACTACTCGGCGCAGAGGATAGAGATGAAGATCGTCATCAGGAACAAACTCCCAGTTGCCCGAGACGATGAATTAATCATCTCTATCACCCTTGTTCGAGTCTGGGAGGTCGACTATTAGTTTGAAGGCGGTATATCTGGGCTTAAGGTTGTATATGTAGCCTTTCTCAGACTTAAGGCCACATATTGTGTAGCAGAATTGGATGTCGGCTAATATAATCCTTGCTTTTTCTCGGTGTGCTAGTTCGATTATGCCATTGATAACCTTATACGAGTTTATGACAAGCTAAATGGGATTAAGTTTGTAATAATGAAGGATTTCTCGGAAGAGAGTGTCTAGGGGAAATCGAAGTCCGCATTCAATAAATGCAACAATAGGAAAGGGCATGGAGTCTCCATCAGGCATGATATAGTCCTCCTCCCCAGGTAACCTCAAATAGACGTCTGCTGGGATCGAGAACTCCCCCCTAAAATGCTCTAGATTTTCTGGGGTGCCCACCCTCCACCTAAACATTCCCATGATATCGGCTTAGTAAGGATAAAATAACATTTCAGGAGAAAGTGACTAGTATGGCTCTACGAACCTCGGCTAAACCCTAAACAGGTACTGGGGCAAGGGATTTTGAAGATCTAAGGGGAATTTGTTTCGATTTTCCTAAAGAATGACGTTCTAAGGAAAATTCCAAACCTAGAAACTACAAAAACACGAATCAAAAGCAAAAATCTAGAAATACAACAAGACAAACAGAAAAAAGAGCATGATCCAAAAATCAAGAACGCAACCGAGATTCAAGAATTAAGAAAATCATAAATCCGCAGAACAATAAGTGAGTGCGTGCAAGAGTCAGAAGCAATACGCACATTCTTGAATGCAGAAACAGATTGTGTTACATCAAACAGGTTTAAGAAACAAGAAATGATGGCCAAAGCACGAAGATAGAAACAGAGAGCAATTATGAATGCATATACAGATTCCATAAAAACAGGTATGAGGGGAATCGTATAGAAAAATTCAACAGGAAGTCATATGAGCACGGCCAAGAATAGTAAACAGCAGTGGAGAATTAAAGTTAAAATAAAAAAGAATCGAAGGACTTATCGATTGAAGCTAGAGTGAGATATAGCGGAATCAGACAAGCTAAACGATCAAAGTCAAATGATGAGTGGTGTGCTGACGGTAAACGACGAATGCTGTTGTAGAGAGCTTGTGAACGCAGTAATGGAAGATTTGGAAATGTTAGAGAGAGAGAGAGAGAGAGAGAGAGAGAGAGAGAGAGAGTCTGAGAGATAAGGAAAAAATTGTGAATTGCAAAAGTGAAAAGACGGAGAGAGAACAAAGAGTTTTGTCAAAAACGCGAAAATGTAGCAAACCATAATGAAATATTTTGGACGTCATGTTTGTCAGGCGACGTGTGCAGAAGCAACGCATCCTGATAGCGCGTGTCAGGTACGAACCAATGAGGGATGGATGCGTGGAGGAAATGACTGAGAAAACTGTGCGTGACAGCTCATGCACAGATAAAACTCTTGGAGTTCTCAATTTAATGAAGCGAAAACCTTGGCTAGTGGAACGATCTGGGGTTAAGGAACTCGAAGAACTTGGTTTTTGGTTCTTGGTCATTGATAGAGATGGGCAGTTGAGTCCTGAGTACTTAAAACCGACGAGTCATGATCTAGGTCGAAGAAAAGAGTGAATTTCAGTTGACGTTCTTCAAAAAGAAACAATGTAGGTTCCATCATCTCAGGTTGCTGAGGAAATAGAAACTAAAGGGCAATTATGGGGACATATTTTGTAAATGATAACATGTGGCCAAGGTGATGCCAAAGTGTCAACCGAGGTGCCACGTAGCTTGGTCATGACGTCGAGGTGATCTCAGCTAGGCCGAGGTTATCTGCGGGGATACCAGAATCTGTGATAAGCAGATAAGGGGTAAGTGTCCTAGAACATGGGAGGATCTCAGTTTAGATAAAGATAAAGCTCTTAGGGAGTTATTCCTATCTGGCTTGGGGTCCAGGATAGGCATTAAGCCTGAGTCCACTGAAGTGAGGCTTCTACAGAGATCAGGTTACTGTTGGTTATAAAAGTAAGGCACCCACGTGGGTCTCAGGTTTGTGTAATAGACTGTGAGCAGTAAGTTCTTTCTTGTGAGTTTAGGCACAATTTTCTATCTTTGAGAGATATCGATTACTGACTTGATCGTCGGAGTGCTCCCGGGTGGACAAACCACCGCCGGATTCTTATCTTTCTGTGACAGGTTGTGTAGGCTTAATCTATTCTGCCGGTACTCTCTAGCTGAGTTCCCCTTTTGATTTTGGTCGAAAATCAACACCCACAGTTGCATTTTTTTTTAATTTTGTTTTCTTTTGTACTGCCGTCCTAACAATGGTAACTAACTTTTTTCTTTCTTTTTTCTTTTTTAATAATTTGTTTTTACATAATGTCGTTGCAAGCGCGGGCACCCAGTCAGCAGGACAAATTGATAGGTTGTAACTTAGTATATATAATTACATATTATACAATAACTAATTTAAGAGTATAGAATATTTATGAAACTTTTCATAATATTTCTTTCTTAATGCCTAACATTACTTATATATATATATATATATGGAGAAAGATTTCCTCCAGTCCAAAATCTAGATTGGAGGGGACTGTTTGGGCCTGTAGGGCTCACCACGAGCCACATTTCAATAATTCAAACTATTCATTTTGTCAGGCACTTCGTGTATTTAATCCACAAAAAAAAAAAAAAAATTAGATTGATTTGATAAACGCAACTTGTTTAATTTATTATTTTGTCATAAAAAAATATAGTTTATTTTTTAAAAACATAATTATAGCTCATTTTTAAAAAAAAAAATATAATAAATTGAGCAAGTTACAGTTATCAAATCAATCTAATTTTTTGTGTGGATAAAATATATAAAATATCCAACAAAATGAACGATTTAAATCATCAAAATGAAACCTCGATAAGCTTCATAGGCCCACAGGTATTCTCTTCTTCCCTCTTAGTTTCAGTACCTATTTGTTCTTGTTTTCGTAATATGTATGCATGTAGGATAGTTCTTATGGCATGATCATTATTTAAATCATGTAATTTCTTCATTTTGTTAACTTTTTCACATTTCTCTTGCATGTTCTCTCTATCTTATTAGAAAATCATATTTTTAGGCTTATTTTAATAACATAGTAATCATGCATGGCTCGGTTTGATCATCGCAAGGGTGCTTACGGATCGGTTCTATGCAGTTCGGATGACGGGTTGGACCCGCTTGATGGGACACAAGTTGGGAAAAAATGGAACCGCATCCGCCTGCAATGCGAGTTGCAGATTGAGCGAGTAGGTCATGTGATTGTGCGGACAATTGCAGGCAGTTTATGAATTAGATTTTTTTTTTTTTCAAGCTTTTGTGTTGGGGCCTTCCCCACTTTTTGAAGCCATAAAAAAAAACAAACATAAATAAGTTTTTTTTGCACTTTGAATATGCATATAACAAACAAAGGCACAAAAAAACAAGACAAACATTTTTTTTTAATTATTATTATTCAACCTAGCTTTATCACATACAATAATGAAAACATTTTTTTTTATTAAATAAAAAAGCAAAATGTTACAATTGTGGGAACAAAAGTCTGCAAACCCACAACACAACCAGCAAACCAAATCATAAATAAATGAAGATGGAGGATTCTAGATTTGAGATTCATACTTTCGAACAATGAAACATTTTTTTTGTTTGTTTGTTTTGTTTTGTTTTGTTTTTTTTTTTTTGTTTTGTTTTGTAGTTTCTGTTTCTACATCTTCCAGATCTGGTTTGCGATTGGGTGACGGCGACTGGGAGAAGAGGAGGGAATGACGGCAAGCATCCAACGACATGGCTGGGTTGATGTGCGAGAGGTGATAGAGCGGCGATGGACTAGGAGCTGATCTGTGAGAGATGACAGCGACCGTAGAGGAGAGAGATGGGTAAAATGGGTCAATGTTGGGGTAAAATGGAGAATTAGTAGATGTCAATTTTTGGATTAGATAAAATGGTTGCTTTCATTCAATGACCTTTTCCTTTAGTATCCTAGCTCCCGAATCTAAAATTCTTTGGTTATGATCAGGTCCTTAACTTAGTTTTTATTGTTAAATGTTTCTTAATTCTAACCCAACCCAACCCAACCCAACCCAACCCAACCCAACCCAACCCAACCCAACCCAACCCAACCCAACCCAACCCAACCCAACCCAACCCAACCCAACCCAACCCAACCCAACCCAACCCAACCCAACCCAACCCAACCCAACCCAACCCAACCCAACCCAACCCAACCCAACCCAACCCAACCCAACCCAACCCAACCCAACCCAACCCAACCCAACCCAACCCAACCCAACCCAACCCAACCCAACCCAACCCAACCCAACCCAACCCAACCCAACCCAACCCAACCCAACCCAACCCAACCCAACCCAACCCAACCCAACCCAACCCAACCCAACCTTCTCTCTCTCTACTCTCTCAAAATAGAAAAACAAGAAATGGGTTCGACAGGAGAGAACAAAACAATACCCATGGAAGAAGCAGAGGAAGAAGAAGCATGTTTGTTTGCCATGCAACTAGCCAGCATCTCAGTCCTTCCCATGGTCTTGAAATCAGCCATAGAGCTCGACCTCCTCGAGACTATCTCTAAGTTGGCTAGCCCTGGTGGCTATGTGTCTCCCTCGGAGATCGCAGCTCACATCCCAACTAAGAACCCAGATGCACCGGTGATGGTGGATCGGATTCTCAGGGTGCTGGCGAGCTACTCTGTTGTAAAGTTTAGTGCCAGAGAGCTCCCCGGTGGAGGAGGGATCGAGAGGCTCTATGGCCTTGCTCCGGTGTGTAAGTTCTTGACTAAAAATGATGATGGAGTTTCGATGGCTCCTCTTCTTCTCACGAGCGGTGACAAGGTCCTTATGGAGAGTTGGTATATTCTTCTTCTGAACTTCTGTCTCTCATTTTCTTTTTCTTTTCTTTTTTTAAAGGATAAATTATATTGGTAGCCGTGTAACTCAATTTTGATTCTTAATTTTAGAATTTTTGAAGAAAAATATTTATTGAGTTAAAAAATTTATAATTTCACATATAAAACCAAAATACTGTGCATTTATTTTATTTTTATTTTTTTAACAGTTGTAATCATTTGGATCAAGTTGAAATAATTCAAATTATAAGGAGCAAAATAACACAAAAACTAAAATATAGGACTACCGATATAATTTACCTTCTTCTTTTTAATAAATATTATTGTATATTTTCAATTACATTACATGACTTAAAATAACATATTTCTACTATAGTTTAACTTAAAATTTGAACGTTGAACACCATATGTTAATAAGTTAATAAAATTAAATTATTATAACACAATTTTTTTACCGATATAAGTGAATTGTTTATTATTATATTAACACTCTGGTGAACTCCCAACCTTACTTTTATAAGCACTACAACCCCATGCCAGCGTGTTTACTCATATTTGGAATACTAGGTCATTGCGGCGATCGCTTGAGGGACAATCCAAATCAAACTTGAGTTGGATTACAAGACAAAATTATTGTAGAGAATATAATTTTATAAGCACTACAACCCCATGCCAGTGTGTTTACTCATATAAAAATTTGTACACCCAAAAAAACTCATACAAGGGTAACTTTGTAATTATGAAACAAAATGATGAATTTTTTATCATTCATTATTATTATTATTTTGAACTTACTCATTATTGAGTTTGGCATGCATAAATGAACAAGTCTGATCCCTTTTCTCTGTGTGTGTGAACAAATGTGTTTTGTAGTAAAAAATTAAGCATGACGAAGATGTCTGTGACATGGAAGGTTTAAATTTTCTTCTTTTTTGCATTGTCTACGTGATTACTCTAAATCAACTCACATGACATAAAACTTACTAATAAAACATATTGATTCACCTTTGTAAGCCAGTTTAGGAGACAAAAAATAATCCATCTAACATGTGTTACAGTTTCAAATTGTCCAAGAATACTACCTAAACAATATGATATATATATTTTTTTGATAACGCGGGATGTCCGGGTCAACTTGCGCGCACCTCGACTAATTCCTGGAGGACCAATCTCACCGTCCACTAGCGGGGGCCCCATTTAAAGCTAGAGTAGAGCTCCGTATGGACTGGTCTAATACAAGAGTTGATAGCACCTAAGAGGTTTTGAACTTAAGACATAAACAATATGATATAGCATTAGTGTCTAATAATTCTCACAATTAGGCACCACAAAATGGAGTAAAGTAAACAAATGGGCTTACTTACCCTGGCTCAAGATGATTTTCTGCCCACTCATTCCTCTTTTCTTACCCGAAACTCCATTTATTATAAGGAGTCAAAAAGTCATAGACTATGGGATAGAGAGATGATTTATGACTGCTTTTCTACTACACAATCAAAAAGATAAAAATAATTTGAGAATAAAATGACAAGAAAGTGTAATACAAAGGATGTGGTTTTAAGTTGTAAATTTTCTCTAAAATTTAAGGTATTATAAAATGAGTCTAATAATATATTTCAAGTTATTCAATACTTTTTTTTCATGTGCAATTCTGTCTTGCACATGAAAAGAACCAAACAGAAAGGAAAAAAATAAAACAAATAATCAAACGGGAACAAAAACTAGTCAATAGATCAACTCATTGGTGCATGGGTTCAAATATATAATAAGAAAGAGTTGGTATGGTCAAATATAATAAGACAGTTGTTCTTTGAAAAATAGCATATAAAACTAAAAACATTTGAAATACTTTTATCACTTCAAAAAAAAGATTCGAATATTTGATTTCAAGTCCCACTACTACACAATGAATCCGTTCTCTGATTCCTGTCCCACCACAGCTGCTAAAAAAATAATTAAAAATAGGTAATCATTAAAGGACAACTAATTTATTTTTATCATTTGTAATTATCATTAAGCAGGCCATCAATTATTAATTTATTTTCAGCCTTCGACACAGTTTTATACTAAAGTTTTCCAACTTTCTATTTTTAAAAAAGGACAAATGTTCCACCGAGATGAGATCTCTCTAACTTGACCATGTGCTACATGAGCCATAGACAAAAGGAGAGAAGATTACGATAGATCAGACAATAAAATTAGGTTTCATAGAGATTTTTTTTTGATCGGCAAACAAAGAACTTTAAACAAACATCAAAAAAGAAAAAAGGAGTGCAAGACATCACAATGAGTTAAATCATCCCAACTATGTTGGCACCAAAAAATCCATCCTATCATTTGGTTCCAAAGAGATTGTCTCACATGTTTGGTATTATTAAATTGAATGCAGGTATTATTTGAAAGATGCAGTTCTTGATGGTGGAATTCCATTCAATAAGGCCTATGGAATGACTGCATTCGAATACAGTAGCACCAACCTCAGATTCAGCAAGGTGTTCAATCTGGGAATGTCTAACCCCACCACCATGATCATGAAGAAAATTCTTGAGACTTACAAAGGTTTCGACGGCCTCACCACACTCGTCGATGTCGGAGGCGGCATCGGAGCTACACTTAACATGATCGTCGCCAAACATCCAACCATCAAGGGCATTAACTTTGACTTGCCTCATGTTGTTGAAGATGCGCCATCTTACCCCGGTAAACATTTTAGCTTAGCAATTGGAATTCAATTGATTGGACAGAATAAACCCTTTGGCACTGTCCAATATCACTTGTCATATATAAAAAGTTAAAAAAAAAAAAAAAAAAAAACAAAAAAACTATGTGGGTGTTTGGGAAGTGGGTTTTCATGTAGGTTTTTTTAATTGTAGGATATTATTAAAAAAAAATTTTCTAGTGTTTGGGAAGATAGTTGAGTTTTTTTATAGTTGGATGTGATATTTATGAGAGAAAAAGTGAAATAATTATAGGGTTAGATGTGATATTTTGTTTGAATTTATTTTTTTTTTAATTTTATAAAAATTTTGTCTTTTAGTATAAAAAATAAAAAAAAAACCTAGGAGAAAAACTTGCCACACACCAAATAAGTTAGACAATATGATTTATTTTGAAGCACAACATCTTTTACGACTAAATTCCATTTGACTCGAGATAAGTCATGTGCAATCAATAATTGCTAATTAATGGATCGTATTGATCATCATTCATTCAGTACGTTTAGTTTTAATTTTTAAGATTCAATTTTTATTTTTAAATTGAATTTTTTTTTTTATTTTTAGTGAATATTTTTAAAATTTTAAGTAAATTTTTTTTTTTATTTTTAGTGAATATTTTTAAAATTTTAAGTAATAAAAAGTAAAATATTTTAAAAAATCAATAAATATACAAGAATACGAAAAATGTATTGAATTATTGTATTTTTTTTATATATTTTTGATATTTAGTGAATTTTCTAAAGTTTTTTTTGCAAATATTATACTTTTTAAGTGTAATCTATGTTAGGTGTATCTAAAAATAAAAAAAAAATACTTAGAATATTAAAAATATTCAATGAAAACAAAAAAACACAAAAAAAAAAGAAATTTAATTTTTTAAAAGAGAAAATCCAAACCAAATAAACTATGTCTGTCTGAATTTTATTTTATTCTATTTATTTACTTTCAATGTTGAAATTGTGCGGGCACGTAGGAGTGGAGCATGTTGGGGGTGACATGTTTGTTAGCGTACCAGAAGGAGATGCCATTTTCATAAAGGTAAATTTTGAAACTTTATCATCTTGACTTACTTGCATTGAATTCAATTATAAAATCAGACATAACTCTTTTATAGGGAATAAAATTTACAAATTTAATAAATTTCATCTTATATCAAATAATTATTTCTAATTTTATGATCGAATTCCATAAACTTAGAATTTTTCGTTGTTGTTGTCGTCTTCATCGTCTTACCTGCTCCATTTCTTGGCTCCTTAGTGGGAGAACTAGTTATTGGTAAATGATAGTGCTCAAGGCATTTGAGTTCTGAGTGGAATGGAAATGGACTACTGAAACACTATCCCTTAAATAGTATTTGATTAACTGAAATGAAATAAAATTGAATGGTTATTCAATTAAAATATTTATTCTATATTTGATTAACTAAAAATAATAATAAAGAATGCTTTGCAAATAAAATCACCAATCACCATTATAAGAAAATAATCATTATATAGGTAAGATTAATTAATAATCGTTTCATTTTATTCCGTTCCATCTCATTCCTATGAGCCAAATGAAGCATTAATATTTTGGACTCATTACCAACGCTATAAGTTTGGTTGCTGAGAAAATTTTGTTCATACTTTGTGTGGATCACCCTTAAACTAACTAAGCTTGTGTTCCAAATAGTGGATATGCCATGATTGGAGCGACGAACACTGCTTGAAACTTTTGAAAAACTGCTACAAAGCATTGCCGGACAATGGGAAGGTGATTATTGCCGAGTTGATTCTCCCTGAAGTCCCGGACACCAAAATCGTGACTCAAATTGTCATCGGTGTCGATGCTATCATGTTGGCTAACACCCCGGGTGGGAAAGAAAGGACGGAGAAGGAGTTTGAGGCCTTGGCAAAGAGGGCTGGATTTGCAGGTTCCCGCCTTATGTGCTCTGCTTACAATACGCATGCCCTAGAATTTCTCAAAAACATTTGAGTTTTTTAGTCTGTGAGTTGGTCAGGGTTGTTTTCCAATCCCTGTAACTTTTTTTTCTCATTGAAGGAAATAAAAATGTGCTGAACTCTCTACTTCTACCAAGTTTAAGTTTTGAGGATGTGGAAGTATGTGGATTATTATTTTGGAAGTACTATGAAAATATGAATCAAGCCCACAAATGACTTAACAATGCTTATGTATTCCAATATATATATATATATATATATTTGCAAATGGCATAATATAACCTGGTACTAGTGGTGATGATGATGATGCGTGGGAATTTGATTTCTTTCATCAATAAGACACATGATTATCAATTTGAAAAATGAGGCAAACTGATAATGTATCGACATATTATAACATATTTTATATTTTAGTGTATTTATAGAGATGTTTAGGCCTTGTTTGTCAAGTGGTGATTTTCGTTAAAAGTCAAAAAGTCACCAAAAAAATCAAAAAGCTAATAACCTATATTAAAAAGTTAAAGATTTCTTTTTCTCTCTACTTTTTACACATCTTTTCGTAAAAAATCAAAAATTTATCCCAAATATACTAGTTTTTTTTATCTCATATTTTAATCAAAAAATCAAAAAGTTACTAAAATAATATGTTCCCAAACGAGGCTTTAAAACTTTTTTTATTTTGAGGATTTGTATAAGATTCTTTGGTATAGTTTTTTTATACCTCTTATGAGACAGAAATAACTTAAATAAACTTTTTAATAAAAGAAAACTGATTATTGAAAAGCAGAAGAAAAAGTATTTTTAATTTCTCCTTTCTAATTCAATTTACTAGAAGTTGTCCCAATCAAACCCCTATTAGAAAACCATTTACGCTTACAGACTCTGGGCAAATGTTCAATACTTTGCCTACAATTGCATCAACAATTGCATGAGGCCATTCCATGGACAAATGACAATTTCACCAACATATTTCCAACAAAAAATAAAAACAACCAAAACAAAGAAAATAAGATGTCACTGCAAGCATCAACCATTTCATAAATTATGTAGTGTTCTGCCACAATTAATTACAACAATGAAATGAAGTCTTTTACAACATAACAATGATATTATTTTAAATCAACTAACCCAAAAAAAAAAAAGGAAAAAAGAAAAAAAGAAAAAAGAAAAGCTATACTAGAGTAGAAGGTTAAAGCTCCAAAACCTCTGAAAATGAAATTAGACCATGTCGAGAAGAAAGGAATCACTTCTGGTATGCGTCAATACCGTTTGGCGGTGCGACAAATACTGTTTGGTAGTTTTGGTCTCTACACGTGTGAGGAATGCAGAAGGGAGCACAACTGCCTGTCCACTGAAGGACAACAGAGGTAGTGCACCCGCAATCTCTGAGACTGCATAACCAGCCTAGAAAAGGGAGGCGCATAGAGACATTGAGGGTAAGCAATCTTTTGTGATTCTCTCTCTACTATGCTCTGCCATCTCTCTTCTCCAAGAAAGCTAACTTGGCCGCTGGACGGATTTTCCGGCAAATCCATCCGCCGGGTAACTCACCTTTGTTTTGTTCACAGCACGACGGAGTTCTAAAGGAGCAAGGCGAGCTTAGTAAAAAGGAAGTACGGAGCGAGGCGTATATTTCTCCCCTGTACAATTGGCGCCGTCTATGGGAATCTTTGGCAGACAAAACCTTGTCCAAGCTTTCTAATCATTTTCCATGACAAGCAATGATGAAACCCCGCTATTCGTCATCGACAGTATCACTCCAGAGTCAGTCTGGAGAAGAGATGGCCCTCCTGCCATTCCGACCATGGCAGGGCTGAAGACCTCCTCCAGAGGGCTACCCAGGGACGCGTGAGACAAACGCGCGACAAGCATTGACCATTCACAGAGTCCTGAAGGATGCCAACAAAAAAAAGGGACACACGCTCAACGCTTGGAGCACAAACTAAAAGACCAGGAAGTCATTATTCGAAGGATGGCAGCAAAGATGGAGGCGTTGAAGTGGCAGATCAAAGGGAAGGGTGTTGTAGGAGTGGGAAACCACAGTGAGAGCATCCAACCCCATCGCTCAAGCAGTCGAAACTAGCGAGGGACACCTTCCCTTTCTATCACTAAAAGCTATGGGGTTGGTGATTTGAACCTGGCGGCGGAGAAGTCAGGCACACGAGACAGTAGCTACCGTCCCTTACGTCGTCGTTCGCCACCCCTCTGTCTCTTGAGATTGAGAGCACACCACTTCCTGCTAAATTCCATCAACCCAAGTTCACACTATAGACGTAATGACACCCTTATGGCAAGACGGATTCGTACATGCACGTCAGCCACTACCGACAAGTAATGGCAGGGCATAGATGTAATGACACCCTTATGTGCCTTATTTTTTTGAAAAGCTTGGAGGAGTTGGGCCTGAAATGGTTCAAAAGGTTTCCAGATGGGAGTATCGAATGCTGGCAACAGTTAGCGGAAACGTTCGCCGTGGTTTGAGACCAATACTTGAACGCCGAAGGAGGTCAATCACCTCTTGAACATCAAGATGGAGTCAGGCAGTTCATTGAAGGCATTCAATGCCAAGTATTGTGAGACCTACAATGAGATCTTTGATTGCCTCACCAACCTGGCAATCACCCAATACAAGCGAGGCCTACCAGTCAGACACAGACTACGAGACTCGCTTCTGATGCACCAGTCTACGACAATAGAATCATTGATGCAGTAGATTAACGAGCACATCCGAGTTGAGGATGATGCCGCAACGGCCACCAAGAAAGTGAATCCAGTGGCAGCGAACAAACGTGCGGCTATGAAGGTTAACTTGGTAAGGTAGGAGTATAACTGCCTCAATAACTGAACCAGAGAACAAAACTGCAGTATTGGCCACAATGACAGAAACAAGGGCCGTAGAAACGGCGGGGCTAATGTTCCTCGCAATGAGGAGGAAGATGCCAAGAGAAAATTGAAGGCATGGACCGGTATCACCACGGTCTTCAAAATTTCGATTTATTGCATCCTCAGTGAGATTCAAGGTGAGCCGTATGTCTGATGGCTAGCAAAATTGGGGGATGCTCAGACGAGATTTAACTCAAGATATCATTGCACTTCCCACGAAAAAATGGGGCACCGAACGGAGGACTGCATACCACTCAAACAGCACCTAGAAGAGTTAGTCACAACAGGCCATTTGGACCAATACATCAATGGCGGCATAAGAGCAGCCCTACAGTGGCAGGTCGAGCCAAATGGGCTAGCCACCTTCAATGCCGCACCACAAGGAGTCATCAATGTCATCGACGGAATCATTGAACCAGTGTAGGTATGTGAGCTCAGAGGAATGATTAAGAAGGCTAAACCCATGAGGGAAGTGTTATCGGTTCAGCCCGCCGTAAAGAAGGGAAATGCCGAAGTGCACGACATAATGACATTTTCAAGCAAAGACTTGGAGAAAATTCAAACCCCTCACAGCGATGCCTTGGTGGTAACTCTTCGTGTCAAGGATTTCGACATCAAGCGAATTTTGATTGATCAGGACAGTTCGGTCGAGATCATGTATTGTGATGCATTCAAATAAACAAAGCTGGAGGACAAAGACTTAGCTCTAACAACTTCCCCTCTTGTAGGCTTTAACTCACAGTCGGGATGACCAATTAGGAAGATCATATTGCCGGTCAAAGTGGGGTCAATCACAAAGCAAGTTGAGTTCCGGGTATTGAAGGTCCCATCGACATACAAACTGATCTTGAGGAGGGGATGGTTGCACACCACGTAAGCAGTGGCTTCAACTTATCACTAGGTCATGCGCTTCCCTCCCCCAACCGGACAAATTGAAGAAGTTTGGGGGGACCAAGTAATGTCAAAATAATGCTTCGTCGTGGTGAACGACACCTAGGCTACTGTCCAAATGATAAAAGGGCCAGAAGGGAAGGAAGTCCTGGAGGATGTGGGAAGAAAAGCTGAAGAAAAGTCGGTTGAAGACTTAGTGGAGGTTCAGGTTGATGAGAATGATCCAAACAAATTCTTTCTCTTGGGCTCATCACTGTCTAGCGTCGAGCGGTTGAAGTACATCAACTTTCTAATCTCCAATATTGAGGTCTTTGCGTGGATGCCTTACGATATGCCTAGCGTCGACCCAAGCTTCATTTTTCATCAGTTGAACGTCTTCCCCAATGCTTGGCCAGTCATCCAGAGAACACGTCGCTTGGCCTTGCACCGTACCGAGGTGGTAGCGGAGGAGGTTAATAACTTGCTGGAGGCTGGGGCAATTAAAAAAGTGCAATACCCCTGATGGATCTCTAACACGGTGGTAATGCTGAAGAAAAATGGAAAATGGCGGGTATGCGTCGATTACAAGACAGTCAACCGTGCCTGCCCGAAGGATAGCTTTCCCTTGCCCCGTATCGACCAGCTTGTGGACTTGATGGCTGGGCATAATCGGTTCAGCTTCTTGGATGCCTATCGCGGCTACCACCAGATTGCCATGCATGGGCCCGACCGAGAGATTACTTCCTTCACGACTCCAAGTGAACTCTTCTGCTACCGAGTCATGCCTTTTGGTTTGAAGAATGCCGGGGCAACTTTTTAGAGGATGTGACCAAAATATTCGCTCCCCTTCTTGGCCGCACTATGGAAGCCTATATTGATGATATGGTAGTAAGGGGTAAGGATAAATCCTAACACCTTACCGACCTAGCAGAGATGTTCGCCGCACTCAAACACCACAAGCTGTGCTTGAATGCCTCCAAGTGTGCTTTCGGAGTCGAAACTGGAAAATTTCTAGGGTTTTTGGTCACCAACCGAGCCGAAGCCGACCCTTTTCAGATCAAGGCAATACAAGAACTGGAGTGGCCAAACACCATAAAGGACGTGCAACATCTTGCTGGAATGGCAGCCGCGCTTAACAGATTCATAAGTCGGTCATCAAATCGCTGCCGTCCTTACTTTCAAGCTTTGAAATTCAAGTTTTCATTGGACGAAGAATGCGACAGGGCTTTGGCCGAGCTCAAGGCGTATTTGTCTTCGGCTCCTTTCTTGGTGACACCCAAGCTGGGCGAAGAACTCTACATTTATCTGGCAGTTTCTCAGCACGCTGTTAGCGCAGTACTTGTCCGATCAGAGGGTATAAAGTATTTCCCTATCTTTTATGTGAGCAAAACCTTGCTGCCGGCAGAGTCGAGGTACTTGCCACTGGAAAAACTCGCTTTGGCATTGATGATGGCCTCTAG